CTCCTGCTGGGCTGCTCCTCCAGCCCTTTGCGGCTGCACTTGGGAACTGAAGCACAGCAGAGACCTGCATGGAGAGCAGGACTGGCTCTCATCCCATGAGAGGGATGCAGATGGGCTCTGGAAAAGAGCCTTGTCCCCCTGTCTCCCATGCTGATATCTCCTCTACAGCCATGGCCTTCCGTGTGCCACCTACTGTGCAGCTCTCTGAGGAGGAACCAGGACACCTGGCTGGGCTGTAGTCAGTGTGACAAAACTCCCTGCTCGGTCATCTCTGGAAAATGAAGTCTCTGTGTGCCTTTGTGTGTGTGTACTGGGGAAAGTTATGTTCAGGGCACTCAGAAGAAACATGTAAGAGCCCTCCAGAGTTTATGGGAGGTGCTTTGGCCTCAGTGAAAGAAGGAACTGGTAGCATTAGGAGAGGGTAAGTACTCTGTTGTTAAGGAGCGCTGGTGGGATTGTTTATTTTTCCTCCCATAAACGTTTTTTTTTAAGGTCCTAATGGAAACAAAGCAAAGTATTATTCCTCTAAAAGCACTATTCTTTAAGTAAACCAGACTCACTACTTGAAACATTCCAATGACATATGGTGGCAGCAGGGGGATGGCCAAGATGTGGACGGGCAAGGTATGACTGAGATAAAGACCCACACACAGAGACAAAGGTACAAGGTGTGAGCAGGGGGACACGTGCCCCAGAGAGAGGCAGGACAGGAGAGAAAACAGCACATTCTTCTAGGGGTGTCAATTTATCCCTTTGATAGTTACCTTCAACAACCTTACTATGCCAGAGAGCAAATTAAAAAATGTCAGAACCCTCCCACGGCCTCTCTAACTCCAGAGGTCCAGACAGCTTTCCCATGTCCTGCTGGCTGCAGGGGAGTCAGACACCTTCACTGCCATCAGCTCACGGAGCTCAGTGCGCCAGAGCCAGGGCAGGGCACAAGCTGCTGCCCATGGCACCAGCCTTCCAGAACAAAAATCACTGCTGTGGGGCACCAAAACACAGCCTTCCCTGCTCTTCTGAGAGGGCATTTTCTGACCGTCTTCCACCTGGCTGAGCTCACAGCAGTGGAGCCCCATGTTGCAATAAATATTCATCCAGCTGGCATCCTGGTTCAATAGCTTTTAGTTACTTCTGCTTCTTTTTTTTTTAAATTACTTTCTCATCTCTATTTTCCTCCATGACCCAGCACACATGTCTTGTACCTGGGCTGTGGTTTCTGCAGTGGCACTGAGGTTTATTAGACCTCAAAAGAAGGAAATGGAAAGAACCCATGAAAAATGAGTCCACAGCTGTCTTTCTCCCACTGATAATGCAGACAAATTTGGGCTGTTTGCTATGCAGTTCATTACTAGTAATAATAAATTGGTATAGTTATCATCAATGTAAAGTGGTATATTTTTTCTATGGGCTTTACAGGTTTGAAGATTGGTGTATTCACCTGAATTTGTCACACTTCATTACCCTGTAAACTTTCCTCTCTTGCCTGCTGCCTCTTATTTGCATCTCACTGCATCTAAATTATGTCTTCATCTGGTAAAGATGAATGCTAATCTAGACTCTTATTTCTTCCTCTCTAGTGGTTTATTGCTGCTCCCAAATATGCTGGCGTCATGAATTTGGGATTTGAGAGATGGGAAAGGAACAGGGCGGGGGTACATCCATACATGGACACACATCCATACTTTTTTCTTTGTCTTCTAGTCTCTCAACTTGTCAAAGTCTGTTCAGAATTTAGGCAAGCTAGAAATACAGAATTATTGTCTAAAAAGAGAGTTTCCCATGCTGTTCCTTGCCTCTACTGGATGAGGATTAGGAAAATAACACTTATTGCAAGATTTGGCATAAAATTGTCATCTTTGGCATTTCTTTTGTAGTTGAGCCATCTTTTGGATGACAGGGTGGTCTGCAGAAAAAAAGCAACAGCATGTTCTTGGGAAAGAAAGCAGCCTTAGGAAAGTACATATGTGATTTCAAGGCAGTTACATCTAAATCCCTAGGAGTTTAAAGTAAAGTCATCCCTGGAGTAGATGGTCTGGTGGGCAGAGTGCAGGTTACATGTTCAAAGTGATGTGACATCTCTGCTCTGTCAAATGGGCATCAGGGCACGACCCTCACCTAAAGAAGCAGATTCACTGTAATGACACCAAAGCAGCTGCACACGGGCTGCGCCTCCACAATGGTTCAGTGTGAGATGTAATTCCTACACCATACACTCAAATTCCATCATGAGCTAAAAAGACACATAGGAAAACCCTTCCTTTCCTTGAAAGTTCTGTTTCCCAAACGGGTTCTGTTTCCCAACAGTGTTCAACGAGGAACACCCTGCCATTGGCCAGGGTGGAAAGATGTAAATCACACAGCACCACATGTTCCAATGAACACAGGCATGCAAGGTTTTGATGTGACCACTCCTTTGTTAAAATGCATTACCCTGCAGAAAAATGGCAGAAACACATCGAAAAGACCAGAAATTATTTACTTCTGCCCTACAGAGGATTGCACAACTGTAACAGACCTAAGTCTCTAAAATCCTGCAGTGCTGCTTTCTGAGGTTCTGCTGTTTATGCATTCAACGATATCATCACACTTCTTATGACATTACTCTGAGAATTTATTTTTTTTTCCTCCAGAATACTCTTGAAGCCAGACAGATCAACTGTCTGGTTACCTTTAGAGCTCCATCACTAACAAACCTGGAAAACAAAACCTTGGGCAGCATGAATGCCTCTAACATTGTCAATACTTCTCCCTCCTGCCCCCTCTAGCTTCACCCAGCTGTTTTAAATAGTGAGGAGAAATTAAAATTCTTAAAGCCTTGCAGGATGTTTGGATTTGTGCCCTTTATTTCCACTTATATGCGCCATAGCTTGAAAATTTGCCTGTGATTTATAAATTCCCTCTTCAGTTCTCTTTCTAAAGGCAGCGACTAGGAATCCCGGCACAGAAAATGATCTGGTGTCGGCTTCCCCCACTGCCAAGCTGCTGCTCACAGCCCTGCCCGTGTGGATCATCCCGGGCATGGCGTTTTCCTGTGCCCGATGACATTATGCAATTACACGATGATAAACATCGTTCGGGAATACAAACGCGAGAGGTAAACAGCTCGGGGCTTTTTATTAGTTTATTCCAGGCGATCTTTCTTGTTTTACTGCGCAGCTCCTCCCCCTTTTACAGTTTTCTGCTATTCTTTACTAATTCTAGCGATTTGAGAAATGACCTTTAACCTACGCAGTTTGCAGACTCCTAAAGGGGATAATTGAAATGCCACAGTAAACCAAAGGCAATAAAATATTATTTACTAGGCATAAAACTAAGGTTGGTCTTCTTAAAGAAACGAACAGCCCCCTTATTCCTTCCCCCTCCCCGGACCTGGTGGTACACCTAATTTATAAATTCCTCACCAGGCGTCCCGAGGAATGAACAGCAGCCCGGGCAGTGAGGATTCCTAATGGAAAGGCTCTTTGGATATCAGAGAGCACAGAAACCTGCCGGGAGCGATGCTGCGGCCCCGGGCCCCGCCGGGGCGCTCAGGTGTCGCAGAGAGCCGGGCTGATCCGCTGCCCAGCGCGGCCCGAGGGGGCTCCGCGCCGCTCCCGTTCCGCGCCCGCGCTGCGCCGCTCGGCCCCAGCGCCGCGCCCCTCTCGGCGGCCCCTGCAGCGCCGCGACCCCCGGGCGGGCTCGGGGGGGAGCGGGGCCCGCCAGAGCGACGGAGGGGCTGGCTCGGGGGGCGCAGGGCCGAGGGGCAGCCGTGGCTGTCGGGGCCCGGCGGGGGCAGCGGGCCCGTTCGGCCGCCGCCGGTGCCGCCGGAGGCTGCGCTTACCTGACGGGCAGCGCCCCGGCGGGGCGGACGAGCTCTTGGCTCGGCAGCAGGTGGGCAGCGGCAGCGGCTCGGGCCGGCCGGGATGCGACTTGTCCCCCATCGGCCTCCTGAAGGGATTTTGTTTGCACTGGAATGGCTTTGAGGGAGTGAATGCATTTATTGATAGCGGAGCTGTTCTCGCAGCCTGGTTGGATTTCCCAGGGCTGCTTTGATAATGTGCCCCCTCCCCCGCATCCCCTCGTGGACCCGCAGTTGCAGACGGATCCAGGGAAAATACTGCGGAGTTACGGCGTGGCTGGGGGAACGCTCCCATTTCCTGTGCTTGGGTGCACACGGGACGGGAGAGGTGCAATAAAAACCCGAGGGCTGCAGAGCAGGGAAAGAGCTGGGAGGTGCAAAGGGTCCGCGAAGCCTCTCTCCCCTGTAGCTCTCATTGGGTCTCACTTGATTTAATCCAAACAGTTTTGTCAACAACTTGCCAAATTTACAGCGCCAAAAACCCGCTGCAGGAACAGGAACACGAGCCGTCGAGCTCGCTCGGTCCCCGCTTTGGCAGGCGGCACACGCGGCCGCCTCCGCGCCTCGGAGCATGCGACAAGCAGGGCTTGTCACCGAGTCGCCCGGCGGGAATGCTGGGCAGGCGCTCGGCGCGGCCATGTGCGCCGCACATTGTGTGCACATGTGTGCGAGGGGGAGCGCCGCGGGGCCGGCCCGGCAGAGCCCGTGTGTGTATATGGGTGAACATGGGTGTACACGTGCGTATGTGGGTGCACACGGGTTTACATGGGTGTACACGTGCCCCCATCCCGGCCCAGGATGAGCAGCCGGCGGTGCTGGAGGGGCCGCGCACCCCCACACGCACCCCGCCGGCCGGGAAGGGCGCACGGGGCACTGCTTTGCAGGAAGAGTTTGCCCTCACGGGGCTCACCCCGAGCCTGACCAGTGAGAACGGCTCGGTGATGCGGGACCCAGCGCGGCGGCCGGGCCGGGGACACGCACTGCGGGCTCTCGCCGCCCGCCCGGGGCCGCGCGGTCCCGCTCGCTGCCGTGCAGCTTTAAAATCCAGCCCTGTCTGCAATAGGCCGGCCCTGGGCGCATGCGCTGCCGAGAAAGTTTTCCAGCTGCCGTTGGCTCTCTTAACTTTTTTTTTTTCCTTTTCCCTCTTTCGCAGTTTTAAGCAGCGGGGTGAAGAGGAGCGAGGGAGAGACGCGGGGGGAGCGGGGCCGGCTGCAGCGGGCGGGGGCAGAGCCCCACGGAGGAAGGGTCGGCTGCCGCGACGCCGCCTGCCCCGGCTTGCTCTCCCGGCTCCTCTCCCGCGTATCCCGCTCCCCGGCGCTGGGCGCCTCTGGCACCGATGGATTGAGGGAGCCGCAGCTCCTGAAGCCCGGACTGCTCCCCTCCCCCTGCCCCTGCTCGCCTTGCAGGATCAGTCGCCCCGTAAGACAGGCAAACGCGTGCACAGCCCCCCTCCCCCTTCCCGCTTGTGCAGAAACTTCTTTTTCTGTTTGGGCTTTTTCTTCTCAGTGTAAAATGGAGGGAGCCGGCCCCGGGATGGCTCTGCAGCGGCGGACCCCCGGCTCTGCACCGCCCAGCCTTTAAGCAAGTGAAGGGGGGCGGGCAGGAGGGAGCCCTGCACCCGCTCGGCTCCATCGTCCCCCTCTCGCGGGCCGGTCCGCGCCGAGCTGCGGAGGGGGCGGTCGGCGGCCCGAGCGCCGGCGGAGCCGGGTGGGAGCGCGGGGAGCCCCGCGGCGGCACCACCTGGGCTGGTGGGACGGATTGTCGCCCGCGGCGCTTTCGCTGCCGCTTGTGAAGATTTTTATTTGCTTCCGCACAATCACGCCCACGGGCGCTGTGTGCGTGTGTTGGGTTGGCTTTTTTTTTTGGCTTTTTTTTTTTTTGGTTTTTTTTTTTTTTTTGCCTCCTTCTTCTTCTGCTGGTGGAAAGCCCTAATTACTGCGATTGCTGATGGACCTTGGAAAGAAGGCTGCACTGGTGCCCCGCTCCGCAGTCGGACACGCTCGGTTTGCGCCGGACAGGGCGGCCGCTCGCCCGCCGCCCCCCGCCAGCTCCGCGGGCCCCCGCGCTCCCCCGGCCGCGACTCGGGACGATACCGCCCGGCTCCTGCGAGCCAGGATTTTACTTTCGTCTCGCCGTTTCTCCTCCTGCTCCGCTTGGATTACTTGGCTGCTCCCGCTCGGTGATCCCGCGCGATGGAGGTGAGTCCGCGCGGGGCGCGGGGGCTGCGCGCCGCAGGGGCCGCGGGCGCGCAGGGTGGGCTGCGCTCGCCGAGGTGCGGGGCCCCGGCGCGGGGCGGCCTCTCCTCCCCTCCTCGGCTAGCGCCGGGTGCTCGTACGTCTGCGCTCTCACCCACCGCGGAGAGTTCTGCTCCCCACTTGGGAAAAGCTCTTGTATTTTCTGGTTTCCCTTCTTTTCAAATTTCCCCCCGAAGAGAGGCTGCCCGCCGCAGGGACACTTGCTGGGCTCGCTCTGCCCGCCGCGTCCCGGTGCATCTTTCTGGCAGCGGCTCCTAACGCGAGTTTAAAGACATCTTTCCAAACTTCCCAAACTTTCCCGAGGAGGATCGCTATGGAGGAGCCCAACATCGGCGCTAATGGTGGCCTGTACCTTTAAGGAGAACTGGCTGGGGGCCAGCCGAGGACCCGGAGTCAGCCCCCCCCCCCCCCCCCCCCCATTCTCAGTTTCTGGAGATTATCACTCTGCATCTGCAGCGGGTCCCGCCTGGGTCAGCGCGGAGGAGCGCGGCTCCTCGGGGTCCCCTTGGCGTTGCGAGGACTCCATGTTGGAAAGGCTGTTGGCTTTTTGTTGTTTGTTTGTTTTTAATTGTCAATTGTATGGTAAATGGGCTGCGCTCGGAGGGTCACGGGGAGTTCAGCGGGGCCGAGGAGCGAGGCTGTCCCCGGGCGCCGAGGGAAGGACACGATGTGCCTTCACCCCCGGGAAAACAGCCTCTCTGCGCCTCCGGTGGGAAGAGCTGGGCCGGGACCCGAGCAGTGCCTTTCACTGCAAACGTGAGACGTGGTCTGGCTCCTCCAAATGGCTGTGAAGACGCAGCGGGGAGCAGGGGGCGGCCGGGGGGTCCCTGCGGAGCCGCTGCGCCTCCCGCGGTTTACAGCCCCCCGGAGCCGGGCTCTGGATGCCGCCTGCCCGCTGGTAGTGCTCCTAGAAAACCAGATGCCTTCGCAGGCTTTCCAGACACCCCGTGTAAAACAGGATCAGAGGCGATCCCGCGGTGCAGGATCTGTAAAAGCCTCGCTTTTCATCTCGGCAAGGAGCGCGGGCTCCGCATGGGGTGCGTTAAATACCAAAACCCAATCTCCGCGGCCCTGCAAAGCTGAACACGGTGCCTCACACTCCTGATCTCCAGTGCTCCGTGCTGCTGGGCAGTCTGCTTTTTTCTTTTTTTTTTTTTTTTTTTTTTTTTTTTTTACTGTTGGATTTTTTTGGTGTTGTTTCTGGTGGTACCTTGTCAGCTGCTGCGTGCAGAAGGGCCGGGCTCGCCGCGGCCCCGGGCGCAGGTGCCTCCTCCGCCTGGCCGCTCGGCGCAGTGCGCGCAGCGGAGGCGGCGGTGGCAGCGGGGCTGGGGCGCGGAGGTGCCGTCGGAAGGGCAGCGCCGCCGGGCGAGGCCGCCCCCTGTTGGGAGCGGAGCGCCACCGCTCCCCGGGGCGCCGCGGCCGGCCTGGGGGCTCCGGGGCAGCTCGGGGGGCACCGGGCCCTTGCAGCGGCGCAGGGGCCTTTGACCCTGCCGGCCGCGCCTTGCAGCGGGGGCAGCGCTCCGCTCCCGGCGCTGTCCCGGCCCTCCGCGGCCGTCCGGCCTGAGTGCTGGGCCGGGCAACCGCACAGCTGTCCCGTATGGGCACCGGCGTCTCCGACCTACTCTGGGCTCGGGACCTTTCGTGGCGCTCCTTTGTTACTGTCATTACTTCAAGAAGTAGCAAGATGAAAAGAGCCCGGCGCGTTGGGCGCTGTTGGTGTCGCGGCTTGCCCCGCGCACACCGCGCTTTGCCTCGTCCCTCGCTCAGCACGCCCTCGGCGTTCGCACCTTCGCCGGGACTGAGCCCCCGTGGGGCGGGCGGGCTCTTTCTCCTGCAGGAGACCGGCCCCCATTTACCCACCCCAGCATCGGGGACTTGGGCGGGCTCATGTCCCGCGGCAGGGGATGTTTGACCCGCACGGCGCGGGCAGGCTTCGCCCCCGCGCTGCAGCCCCCGAGCAGTGTCGGGGAGCGGCGCATGGGGGTCCCCACCTGCGGCAGCTCCCCCGCGTGTGCCCGGGCAGGTTCCGTGTCCGGCCCCGCTGCCAGCGCTCCGCTCCTCCCGGCCCTTTGCAAACAGAAATAAATTAGAATTAAGAACACCTTCAATTCAACGTTAAGGGCCTTTGGAGAATGAATAGGGAATAGGGAGCCCCCAAGTGTCGAAATGTCCTTTTTTTTTTTTTTTTTTTTTTTTTTTTTTTTTCCCTTCCGAGGGGAGGGGAAATCAACCCCGGGAATGGCTCTAGGGAGAGAGTGAGAGAGTCCCGTGTGAGGACCAGACGGTGATCGCGGGACCTGTCGGGGGAAGCGTTTGACTTCCAAGACGGCATCCCGGTTGTTGCAGGGTCCGGGTCGGGACGCGGAGCTGCTCCTTGTCGCTCCTGGTACCTCCCCGGGCCGGTACCGGTCCTGGGGCTGCCGTCGGGGCAGTCGCCGCGGTGCCAGCGCGGAGCTCGGGGCTGCCTCAGCGATCGCGCAGGGCGGGAGCCCCGAGGCTGTGCCGAGATGTTTTAGGGGACGACGGAGAAGGGCGAGGACCGGCCGCATCATCCCCGGGCGGGAGCCCTCGGGCCCCCCCGAGGAACCGATCCCTCGAGGCACCGGCCCCCCTCCCTGTCGGGCTCGCTTTGCAAACCTGAAGCCGCCTTTAGCCACCCGTGAGCCTTTCGTGTCCCCGGCGCGGGCAGCCATGGGGTAATGCCCGGCCCGCGGGTCGCTGTAGCCCCGGGGCAGCGGGGATGGGTGCCGTGTCCGGAGCGGCTGTTGCGCCTGGTCCGGTGCCGTGCCGTGCCGTGCAGCGGCGGGCGGGGTGCGGGAGCGGCGGGGCCGGGGCAGAGGGACGGGCGGGCGCCCCGGGAAGGCGGTGTCCGCGGGGGGTGGGGGCTGGCGGGGTGGGTTCTGCCCGGTGGAGCGGGAGCTGCGACGTGCCTGTGTCTGGCACCAGAGCCGCGGCGGGGAGAAGGGCCGGCGAGTCAGAGTCAAGTTAAAAGGGGCCCGGAGACTTCCGTTGTTTAAACTTGAATGCTCGAAAATGGTCTGAGAAGCAATAAACAATCTGATCCTTTTTCTCCCCCCTCTAGAAATCCAGTGCAGTATTAATCCACGGAGGTGCTGTGGGGACAGTTGGCAGTACAATGGCTTCTCAGTACCTCGTAGTGGCTCTGGCCGTTTTCTCCTCTTTTACCCAGGTTGTAATAGAAGCCAGCTCTTGGTGGTAAGCATCTCGTATCGACTTGGTTCTGAAAGGGGGTGTCAAGATTTGCTTGCTTCAATGTCTCTGTGCTTCTTCTGTACTTTGTTTCTGCGGGAGTGCGGCCGGAGCGAGGCAGCAGGGGAGAAGCGTGCTGGTTGGAATATGTTGTGTAGAAGGAGCGGGTCTGTCGAGTAAGAATAAATGTGCAACATCTAGTCTTGTAAAACACAGTTTTTAGAATGCTGTCTGGTAGATTCTCTAGGAGTTTTATCATCTTTAAATTACTATAATTGTTTTTTCTTTTAAAAGAGACTTTTCAACTCCCTTACATTAGATGTTTTGCATGTACAAGAGAAAATACTGATTTGCAAGGAAAAACTTAAAGTTTCAGTTTGAAGTTTTCTGTAACCAAAATGTTTACAAATATATTTCGTTACAAAGGAGTACGTTTAAATTCCTGCTTTGGCAAATTATCTGTATGGTGTACAATGTTGAGAGTTCTTGAAATAGGTGTTTCTCTTCTTTTTCCAGTGATGCCTTTTGGTTTAATAGCTACTTTTTAATTGAAATGTATCATGTGAAGAGCACTTTAAGAATTAAGAAAACAAAGTTGATTTTGTTTACAATTAATATACTTGCCTGTATGTTTCTGTGTTGTCATTTGGAAGCAGCTAGACGTAGTCTGTAGCAAGCTTCTAATTTCTGGCTTGCTAAAGGTTTCCCTATTTGTTTATAATAGATCAGATTGAAAAACCCAGACTTAAGTATAAAATATGTGTTAAGATAAATGGGGATTTGGAGAGCTTTTTTCAGTTTTGCTTTATTTATTTTCCTGGCCTTGCAATTGTTTGGAGCTTCTGGTTTTTTTACTGTGTCAATTTAAGCTGGTAAAAGACTGCCTAGATTCAAGTCTTCCAAGTCTGTGTCGTACTTCAGTCTCTAATGTATGGTGATAACCACATGGGTGGAAACTAGTAACTTCTGTCCTGTTGTTAAAACAAAAGTTTCTTATTTAAGTGTGGGGTTTTTCCTCACTTGTTAACAAAAGCAGTTGTATACTCACATATAAGATACAGTTCTGTCTGGGATTTATAGATTTTTTTTAAAAATTGCTTTATTTTATTTTGAAGTCTTCTGTTTATTAATGCAAATCTTTCTTTGTGCAGGTCCTTAGGGATGAACCCCATGAACCCCATGAACCCTGTTCAGATGTCAGAGGTGTATATTATAGGAGCCCAGCCACTATGTAGCCAGCTAGCAGGGCTTTCCCAAGGACAGAAGAAACTCTGCCAGTTGTATCAGGACCATATGCAGTTCATTGGAGAGGGTGCAAAGACGGGCATTAAGGAGTGCCAGTATCAATTCAGACATAGAAGATGGAATTGCAGCACTGTGGACAACAACTCTGTTTTTGGCAGAGTCATGCAGATAGGTAGGAAGCAACGTCTTTATGATTAAACTCTTGTCTAAGGATATGTATGGCACACACTGTTCTGCACTTGAATCTCTTGCCAGGTTCTTACTGAGTACTGTATACAATCAAGTGTTTCTAAAAGTTGGCAAAGGAGCTGGATTATTTTTAGCTGGAGGTGATTTCCCACCACTGTCCAGCCATATGTCTTGGAAAACAAAGCAGGAATATATATTTGCATATGGGAATAGGGGAGAAAGGAAAATGAGGCCCTGAAATCTCTTTTTTAGAAAACCTGAGACAAAATGAAGGCAACCTACAAGAATTAAAGCCAGCAGCGTCTTATAAAATTAAAGATGTCCATGTCTAGTTCCAAAGTTAGCAGCTGGATAATAAATCGCGCTTGGTCCAGAGGTTAACTGAAAATTGCTGCTCTGTCGATTAGTGTTTATAGGCAATTCCTCCTTGCTTATTTCCAGATACAGTATTTTTTTCTCTCTTTTTAAGGAAAACAGATTTATTTTTAAATTGCTGTAGCAGGGTAATTTTCATGAGATCAGTTCTATCATGGTAAAATGTGTGATTGTCCTTGTAACTGACTTTTGATGGAATCACGTTGCTGGTGAGAGACAGATTCTTGTTTAACATCTTATCACAGTTTGGTGGATACCCAACCCTTCCCCTATCAGATCCTCTTTGAAATGGCCTTCTCCAGTGCTCATGTGCTGCCTGCCTTTCTTGGCACTTAAGGACCTCATAGTATTTTAAAGTCCTTGGCAAAATTTTAACCAATGCTGTCGAACGGGGTCCATGTGAAACCTTCCTCTGACTTTCTCAAGGCAGATTGCTGATTTTGTGTAATCAACTGAAAAATGCCTACTTTTCTGAGTGACACTTGTGATCTTTTAAGTAGTGAACAGTACACTGGAAACACAGCACTGCCTTTTAGTTGGGGCTGTAAAGCAAAGCTTTTATGGCAGTGTTTTTCTGTCCTGCTTTAGAAAAAGAAAAAGTTTTAAAGTTGGTCTCAGTCTGGGTTTGTCTGTAAATGGGCTGAGTCCAGTTAAAGTTGAAGGAATGCATCAATTCACATTTGGTCTCAGTTTTTGTTAAAAGAAGTTTTTATTTAGATATTGTCAGACAAATCTATTGCATGTAAGTACTGAATTGGAACATTTGATTTTAGATAAACAACCTTCCCCAGGCTTTTTAAAGCACAGTATTAACCCTCCATAGTGTTTGGTTTTTTTCTTTACCTTACCCAAGCAAAAGTGTAAAAACATGAAAGCAAGCTTCTTCTGTACACCTCTCTGTTCTAGTAATCTAAAAAATGTCAGAAAATTAATCTGTTTAAAATTTAAGCCTTCATCCTTCAGCCCTTATTTATTATCCAAGCAAGTGAAAATTAGCTCAGGGGGACTGTTGGTGTGAAGGAGTGTACAGGATGGGGCCCGTGATTTGTGGTGTCTGTCTCTGGAGTTGATATTTCTGCCCTCCCCAAGTATGACAGGTCTCTTTAAAGGTGGTTCCTTCCAAGTGAAATAACTTTGCCGCACCCTTTTGCTGGATATGACTGTATTAGCTGATGTCTACACAGCAATTCATCATGTAATTAAGCCACTTACTCTAATTGCAGATGGAAGCAAGGTTAATAGCCATATTCAGGAGTTAGGGCATGAAGAGTGTATTCAGTGAGAGCAAGGAAGGAGCTGTAGCAGTTGTAGTATTTCACGCTGACCCTCAGTAATGACCAGTTGGTGTTCCTCTGTGTGGAGGGAAAAGTGGACACTTTCAGAGCCTGATTCCATTGACTTCAGCCTGCCATGCCCTGAGTGCTGGGCTGTCAGATAGCCCTTGTTCCCAGCAGTGCAGGGTGCAGGCTCTGAGTGCACATTGTTTGGCAGATTTTGCCACGTGCCCTTGGTTGCGCCCCAGAGAGTTCCCGGGCACGGCACTGCCCGCCGGCACAGCCACGGCCCCGTGTGTCAATGGACAGTCTTTCTTCCAGGATTTACCCTGCAGTTAGCTAAAGCTGTACAAATAAACCTGCCCTTGGGTTTGGAAACTTGCTCTGTGGCTTATTGAACTGTAAAATTTTAGGGCCTGTGTTCTGCACTGCTCTCCTTGGGTGCTGGTTCCCGGGTCAGGCCACGGTGCTCGCTGCCATCTCCTGGCTTTGTGGCCAGCCCTGGGCAGGCTGCACATGGGCTTTGCACACACAGCTAAGTGCTAACAGGAGACAAAATCACTGGATCCTCCCCCTACAGCTCCGTGTGGTTGGGGTCCAGCTTATTCTGCCTCCAGACTGATGTTGAATGCTTTTAAAATGCAAGACAAAGAACATTTTGTATCTTATGTTCAGGTATTAAAAAAAACCAACATTCTGTTCTTGCAGACTTATTCAGACCAAGTGTAAAGCTCAGCGCCTTGCTCTGTGGGTGGCTTCCTACAGTGTGTGTATATTGAACAGTTCCATTTCTATGTTTTATATATATGGGAGAGAGGGGACTCGAACGTGTTTGGAATGTGTGTTTGCTTGCCATGGCTACAACAGAGAGAAATCCTGGACTGTGGGAAAAGACAGATATGTTTGACAGTGAAGGAAAGCACAGTTGTGCCTAAAGACTGAAAAAAGAAGGAAAAAAAAGAAAACTCAGAGTAACTCATCCGTGTGGAGCCATCACTCTTAATGTGTTCCTGGGGTCGATGACTTGAGGCAGTGTTGGCTTGAAGTGTGCTTCAGCAGCTGATGCTATTTTATAATTTGCCTAAATGCTCAAGGAGGGAACTTGCAGGGCAACTCTCCTTCCTGTACCCAAGCCTTTCCTTTTCCTTCCCACTGAGAGTAAGTTCTTTAAAGTTTGTTCCAGGTTAATAATGAAAACTAGTCAAAAATAGTCAGCTTTACGAGTTTAAATCCCGCAGTAAGTGGCAGAGTTAACCATGTGAAAGCATGAGTTAACTAAACATGCAAAAGAAGAAAAATGGAATGGAAGAGGCGAGTCCTGTGGTCCGAAGCAGACCAAGTTTCTTTCCTCTCAGTATAGTGGAAATTTTGCTTAAGGAATTAATCCAAAAATGTGTGTTACAGAGCAAACGGGAACATTAAAATCTGTATGAGGTTCCCCCTGCTATAGTTTGCAGTAGATGCAAGGCTTAAGTCACCACATAAAGCCAATGTTTTTTTAACTGAAAATGCTACTCCTGTAACCCTTTATACCCACAATTCATGTAGATACTTCCAAGAGCAGGTGTCTGTGAGTATAGACTATTGTAAGGTGGCAAAGTGCTTCTGATCTTCCTTAAGTCTCTTCTTTCCTAACATAAGATTTCTGATTTTTCCCATTTAAACCCAGCATCTATTACTAAAATTAATCCAGGGGATGACAGCTGTTGTATTAACATAGCTGCTCTGATCTTGGTGTCATCTTGATGTTAAGTATGAACCAGACTTCAAATTATTTATGTTTCAGAAGTGCTTGAAAGCTCCTATTAGATTTGACCTGTCATGATACATCTTGTACAAAGAGATTTTGCCTAAAATGTTGCTGTCTAAATATATGTGACTTGCCCAAAACACAGCCTCTTAACATCCTAGTTTTTCAAAGGCCAATGATGTTCCCTAAGTAAAATCACGTAAAACCAAGACTAAAACCTAGCTTGATCTATTGATTAGACTAAAGGTTAGGAATAAAACTTAAATCATATAAACAGAAAAAAAAATATTTAGTCTATTCTTAGTCATTCCAAGAATCTTTCTTGGAAACGACCCATTGGGATGCTGTCTCTTAAGGAGAAAAACAAACTTCAAGTGTTGCTCTCTGGTGCAAGTTTTGTGTTTGTTTATCTGCAAGCTTTGCTAGTTGTACTCAGAACTTGTGGCACCCTTGGAAAAGTGATTGGGGAAGTCAGAAACTTAAATGAGGTGGGATCTGATACTGTCAATAGGATGGTATGTGGCCATGTCTTACATTATGGGTATTGTAAGTTTTTCTTAATGAAAGCTGGAAACTTGAGGTTTTCCATTTCCATTTAAGGGCACCAGATGCAGGAGAAAACCTTCAAGGCCACCTCGTGCCAAGGGTTTTTTCTTCCCTGTAATTTGTAAAAATGATTGTCCATGGGCTCCCTTGCCATATTCACAAGAGCTGAAGTGGTGGATAATAACCAGCACAGGTTGTTGTTAGTTTTAAATAGTCTCCTTCAGAAGTGTCTGGCTAATGTGTAGGGTGAAAAGTTGTGTGTTATTCTGCTGCGTGTTTCTTTTGATACTAGGAGACTTCATAAATTGCTTGAACTTTAAATAAATTGGAATAAGTGGGTGAAGTGCATCAATCACATTTGAGAGGTAGTAATTTAAGAACCAGACTTTTAAAAGTTGTATTTAACATCTCTTTCTTCTGAAGGACAGGGAGCCTGTTACCCTTCCCTCCCCTCACATGCAGGCATGGCTGCTTTGGCCCCGCTGGCCTCATGGCTCTTTCGCACCTCCACTCTGCACTTTCATCCAGGCGTTCACCAGCGTGAAAGAGAAGTGATTTCTGCTCTTGACAAACCATGTGTGCTCACATGGCTTGGGCTGGCTTGGTTCTTGCAGAGTGAGGATGTTTTGGGCAGCGTGGTTCAGGGTTACTCTCCCTTTTACCGTGCAAGTGAGCTTGGTGGCTCTGGAGAGCCTTTGGCTGGGAGTGGTGTCTGTCCCCTAACCCCGCTTGTGTCTCCGTGCAGGCAGCCGGGAGACGGCGTTCACCTACGCGGTGAGCGCGGCCGGCGTGGTCAACGCCATGAGCCGCGCCTGCCGGGAGGGCGAGCTGTCCTCCTGCGGCTGCAGCCGCGCCGCGCGGCCCAAGGACCTGCCCCGGGACTGGCTGTGGGGCGGCTGCGGGGACAACATCGAGTACGGATATCGCTTCGCCAAGGAGTTTGTGGACGCGCGCGAGCGCGAGCGAGTTTACCAGAGAGGCTCCTACGAGAGCGCCCGCATCATGATGAACCTGCACAACAACGAGGCCGGCAGAAGAGTGAGTGTCTGCAGCACAGGGTGTCCCTCCATGCGCCTCCTCATCCCTTCTTTTTGGGAAAAACGTGGTTCAGCAGGGCACAGAGCAGCCACCGTGGCTTGTCTTTGTTTTGACGCACAAAACGAGAAAACGGCAAACACGGGGTGTGGGTGGGTGGGGAGCGCATGAGTTGGTGTTGCTTTTGGTTGTCTGACAGTCCTGTTGCTTTTCTCATGGGGGAGGCTGGGACCAAAGCGTCTTGTGTTTCCCTCTGTATTGTTTCATGAAAAGTGCCCTGCTCACTGTTGATTCTCTGTAGAACAGAATTTTATTAGTTGGTATTTCCAACCAGGACAGTGTGGGTTGGAAGGAAGAGGGGTGTGCTGGGCTTCCCAGGCTGGAATTGTGCCATAAGATTGTTCTGAGTTTTTTTTTCTTTTCCTGGTTTAAGAGTATGTGAAAAACTTCTCTATGCTATTAGAAAACATGGTCTTCTGTGGTTGAACATGTCTTCATGGTTTCTTTAATCTCAAAAATGCTTTAAATGAATGGGTGTAAACTTTTTTTAATAGTCTGAATATGAAGAGCCAAAATCATTATTTTCCTAGAGCTTGAAGTGCCAACAATAGTCAGCTGAGACTTTGCACTTGTGTTCTAAGCTGAAGAAGGATAAAAGATAATTGAAAATTAATAGTATTTAAATGTAAGAGGAGGGTGTCTGAGAGCAATGGACAGGCCAATTACTATTAGCAAGAAGAAAAATGACACTTTCACAGTTGCTTACGGAGACTTGAGGAGTTTTTTCCTTCCTCAGCCTCATCTGTGCAGTGCCATTTGGCAGTGTTAAGACTCTGTAACTGCTGGGTGGAAGCTGTCTACAGTATCATCTAATGTGTCAGACCCCAGGATTTTTGGGGCAGTGTCAACACTGACTCTTATTTTATTTGTACAGGGCAAATGACTGAGGTTTTCCTGCCAAAGCTTTGTAAAGAGGATATTGCTGTGTAGCTCTGACTCCCACCCATAGGTGTTTGGGGGTTTCTTCTTGGATGAAGTCTCTCTTCCAGAGCACTGTTTGGGATAGGAGGAGGATGCCGAGCCAAGAGTAGACAATCAACTGCAGCTGAGCCAGGAGCAAGAAGAATCTTAGCTCTTTCCCTAATTGCAGCCTCAAGCAGAGATCAATAGGGAGAGTAACTCAGATAGAAAATAGGGAGATATTTTACATTTCTCAATGAAACAGCGAAATCCTTTGCTGGCGTGAGAGCGAATTCCTAAAATTTGAGTGCAGCCTGAGTGATGCTGCTGTCTGGGCCGTGTGTGCTGTTGTGGCTGTCTCTGTTGTGGGGAGAGGCTGGTGAGACTCTCCTCTCCTCCTCCTCCTCCTGGCTCTTTGGGGTGCTGGGGGTGCATGGGTTGTCAGCTGACTCATCCTTCCCACTGAATAGGAGGCGGGGAGAGGATGCTAAGGTGAATACTGTGGAGGGGCCAGTGGGAATATGACAGAGGGCAGTAGGTGAGGGGTATAAATGCTCTCACAGCTGTGCTAGTCTTTGATCGTGGCTCGCTCTTCTCTCCCCTGCAGACAGTGTACAACCTGGCTGATGTGGCCTGTAAGTGCCACGGCGTCTCCGGCTCCTGCAGCCTGAAGACCTGCTGGCTGCAGCTCGCCGATTTCCGCAAGGTGGGCGATGCCCTCAAGGAGAAATACGACAGCGCCGCCGCCATGAAGCTCAACAGCCGGGGGAAGCTGGTGCAGGTGAACAGCCGCTTCAACGCCCCCACCATCCACGACCTGGTGTACATCGACCCCAGCCCCGACTACTGCGTGCGCAACGAGAGCACCGGCTCCCTGGGCACCCAGGGCCGCCTGTGCAATAAGACCTCGGAGGGCATGGACGGCTGTGAACTCATGTGCTGCGGCCGGGGCTACGACCAGTTCAAGACGGTGCAGCGAGAGCGCTGCCACTGCAAGTTCCACTGGTGCTGCTACGTGAAATGCAAGTTGTGCACAGAGATCGTGGACCAGTTTGTGTGCAAATAGGGCACGGACGAGGTGGGAGGAACTGCAGCCGCCTGCCAGCAAGGGGTGCGGGCCCCTCTCCCTTTCTGCAGGACTATCTCCACTTTATTTATAGAGTCCAAGGAGTTTTCGTCTTCTTTTAAGAAAATAAAAAATTAAAAAAAAAAAAAGGAAATAAAAAAAAGGGCGGGGAAGGAAAAAAAAAAGAAAGAAAAAAGAAAAATATAAAGGTTGCAAAGAGAAGTGCCTGGAAACCCTCTCTGCGTCCATCCCAGAACTGTGTGAGGCTTATATTTTTGGCAATAATGGGGGAGAATCTGAGAATATTTATTTTACAAAGTTAAAAAAAAAAATTGACTTTTCTTACAAACAATAGAGTAGTTTGAGGGGAAAAGCTGACATATCCTAATTTAGATCCATGGAACGTAATACACGTGCAGTAGACAGAGCAACCACGTAATGTGCTTGGGATGTTAGAACCATCCTTATGGATGTGAGGAACACACATACCTGTCCATGACTTTTAGGTTCAGACACTAGAAGTTCCTAGAATAGGGTGTATAAAGCTGTTCAGTGCTTGTAGGGCTCTGTAAATAAGGGGTATGTTCATCACAAGGTGCGGTGTCGGTTGCCCGCCAAGGGTCACCGGAGGGCAAAGAGCAAAGGATCAGAAAGGCTTCAACTGCGCTATCCCTGAGTCACCAGGGCTGGTTCCAGAACCGAGCAAGACAGGAAAAAAAAACAAACAAGAAAAAACAGAAAAAAAAATCTGTCTTGGTGAATAATAAAGATGTTCTTCAAGGCAGAGCTTGGCCTCATCAGCTAATTGTGCCGTTTGGGTGTCTCATGTGCCGGAGCAGCCCAGGGCAGGCTGCCTGGAGCATTGGAGCTGGGCAATGCTTACTAACAGCTTTGCTTTCCCAGCCTGGAAAGCCCATGGAAAGGAGAGTTCCCCAAATTTGAAAATGCCTTAAAATGGTGTAATAGCTGGCTGTCTTTCAAAACACAGCTTGACAAATAACTCCTCTAATTTTATGTGAGAAAATAAATCATTAGATATCCGCTCTTGGAATGACTGATTTTTATTTTTTTCGCAGATTTTGGGAACGCTTTCACTCAAGGAGACAGTAGTTTCATATTTTAATAACATTAACTGACTATTATAGTTCAATGAAACGTTGCAGCAATACCAAATTTATCATCCTATGTCTTTAATACACATGCTTTAGATAATATACTGCAGATATACACTACAACTGTTCAGACTATACTCGAGCAGTTACATATATATGGGAGAACTGTGGTCTCTGGTGTCTGATACTTCAGAGCTTTTTGTACATATATATTTTAATGATTTAGAAAAAAATAAAACGTCTAAATTAAAGGGGCAGTTCATCCCTTATTTTTCAGATCTCTTCAGGTGTTTAGATTGGTTCTAAGCTTTTGGTGGGTTTTTACTGTTAATTATTATTTTTTAAAGAACTTTTAATATTCAGAAGTTTTGAGGATAATCACAAAGAAGTAAGCCTCTTCCCAATTTCAGGACTTCCTTGGGTGGTTGGTAGAGGCAGCACCCTGCACTTGAATTGATACCAGTCTGGAGATCACTTCTATTCCACTCTCACGTTAAGGGCATTATTGATTATTGCTGAAAGAGACACCTTCCAACTCCAAAATGTGCTGCATTCGGCCCTTGCTTTTCAGTTTTTGAACAGAGAATTGTTATTTGTCAAACAATATGTGTTCCCTCTGTGCTGTGTAGTTACACAGGATTTCATCTTTGATTCAGATGCCACTTTCCAACTCAGTCCCATCCTACAAGTTAAAGAAAATGGTTTTGCAGATACCAAGTGAGGAAAACCTTTCACTTTAGCCTAGTTGTACTAAAGCCTTGACTTTTCACAAGCCTTTAAGCTGTATCATTAAATTCATCTTGATCATTTATCAGCTTCTTAATGGCGCTTTATTGCTCTTAATTTATTGTACAAGGACATATTTACCCCTCATCTTCAGATGTTTGCAAAGAATATCTTTAAAGTAAGAGAAATAAATAAAGCACTAATTCATTGAATATGTCACTTTGGTTTTTATTGTACAAAAACCATGATCTTTTTTTTTTCATTTGCTGAATCACCTCATGTTCCTTTTTAGTGACTTCTGTCTGAGCAGAATTGAATCTCATGATCCTAGCTATTAAACCCTATTTAATGTAAAATATTTTACCTGTCATTCAGATATGTAAATCTTCTATGTCCTTTCCTCTGTTCTGTACATTTAATGTACATATTTCTGTCTTGTGTGATTTGTATATTTCACTGGTTAAAAAAAAAGAAAGGATTATGCCATAATTGAAGATAGACTATAAAAATAAAACTTTGGTTGTATATTGGGAAGTGGTTTTAATTATCTTTCAGAGGAGGGTTTGTTAAGACAATGAGCAGAGTTGATTTTTAAATTTATTACATGGTAAAACAGGGAAGTGTTTGTTGGCCAAACATACAAAGTACATTTTGAAGTTTTATTTCAATATTAAGAAGACTTACAGATAGAAGGGGAAGACTTCTTAAGTAGAAGGGGAAAAACTCAAAACCAAAAAAACACACCAAAAATCCACTCAGAAACTGTGACTCTGAGCTAGGCAGCATTTTAGAGATGGCCAGCTACTAAATTGCCAGTGGACAGGGACCTGGTTTGTTCCTTGCGTGCTTACAGCCCTGAAATCAGGGCTGCTTTCAGGGGTTTTGGGTGGCTGCCTTCAGTATTGGCAGCGAGGGCAGCAGGATCCTGGGTGAGCAAGGTTTCCGAGAGGAAAAGCCCTCGGCGCAGGTTTGTGTGCGCTGGGTGCGGGGGTGGCTCCCCCACATCGCTCTGACCGCCCTGGCGGGAGCTGCGAGGTGTGAGCTCACCAGAAACTAAGAACAAGGGAAGGGAAGAATCCTTAAAAAAACCCAGGAAGGCAAAGTGCAACGAAGGAGGAATGAAGTATTCGTATAAAGGAGGTAAAGCAGAAAACAAAAAACTAATATGAACCCCAAGCTTTCTGTTTTGCCACTGGCTTGTCTTTGAACTGATTTCTTAAATCATGACTGTTTTTTTTCTGCTATAGGTAACTTGATGAATTAGTGGCCTTTCTTTACCTCTCTTCTCCTCCTCCTTTTTTCTTTTTCTTTTTTAATTTTTTTTTTTTTTTCTCAAGGATAACCTTCTAACATATCGAAACTCTTTCTGGCTGCCAAGAATGTATTATCCCACAAACCAGTAGACCAACATCATGTGTTTAAAATAGCGATTCTGGGCAAATGCAACGTTCTGTGGTCCTATTACTGACATCTGGTTCAGTTTTCCTCCACTTGTATATTGACCAGTATTCTTTATTGCAAAAACACAGCCCCTATTTAGGAAAGTCAGCATTTTTTTTTGACTGGATTGTATTCAAGCTCTTCCCAATAAGAGAAAAGTACCAAAAAACTTCTTTATTGCCAGCAGTAAATAATCTGTATTCAAAACAGTCATTATGGGCTCAGATACAAGAGAGTTGTTTTTAATTTGCACCAAATTTATCTGTTAAATTTTGTTAAAAATGTTGTTTCAGAATTTTGGGATTTTAGTAATAACTTCAAATGTTTGTGTTTGGTTACGTCTTTGCAACACTGAGATCCACTTTGTTTTTGCAAAATACCAAATCCCTCAGGTGTTACCAGGCAGTGTTACCAGGAAATCCCTCAGTGTTACCAGTTGTTGTCTCTTATCTTGCACCAGAGATAAGGGACCTGAAGAAGAGAATGGCAGCTTCAAGTCAGGCACTGCATGCAGGATGCAAGCTAAAATCCTTCCTTTCTGAAGGATTGGTTTGATAGAATGATCTTAGAAAGATGATACAAAACTTGTAGGAATTGGTACGGAAGCTGACAGAAAGACTGCTTTCCTTTGGATAAGACCTTTTGAGGAATAATATCTAAACCATTAGGATGTTCATTGTAAAAGCGTGGTTTTGGTGAATCAGGAAAAATGTCTAGATTTTTCTTGTGGACTATATGCCAGAGGAAACCAAGAACAATGAGGAAAAATGGAGCTCTCAAAAATATAGGTAAGTGTATTAATGTAAAGCTTATGTATGTACTTGCTGACTGTGGTAGTCTTAAAACTGTTTATCTATTATTGAAGTCAGTTTGGAAGGCAGGCCAGATCTGTTCTTTTGCTTTTTAAATTGTGTTTAAAATCCTCAATGGGGGGGGGGGGGGGGGGAAAAAGAAAGAAAAATCTTTCTTCTTTACTCCAGACTCTGGTATGTCTGTTTATGTTGCAGTGGGATAAAGGATCCATGTAGGAGCGCAGTGAGAGGTTTGTACATGAAATGTTGTTTTCTTTAAAGGTGTGATTAAAAAATCCAATCTGTCTCATGCTCTGCTCTTATATGAGATTGCGTGTGTGCATTTGTATATACTCTGCTGGTATTTTCCAATTGTGTTGGCCAAATTCTGCTTTTAGTTATGGTTAGGCATCTCTCCTGACTCTGGTGGTGTCATATGAGCCTGACATTTTTCGACCAGACGTGAAGGCCCCCCTGCTCAAAGAGAATGCATATGAAATATATCAGCCTTTCTTCTGCTGGCTGGTTGTTTAAACATGGGTAACTGAATTATTGTGAAACAAATTCTGGGACTGCAGCTGCAAAAGCAGTAATACGGTATATTCGTAGTGATGTTTCTACGCCATACCTCCTAATTTCCCAGCTGATTTCCAGTGCAGACAGAAAGTCTAGAATGCATGTGGTATGTTCCTCATCATATATTTTATACATGTAAAATAATGATTTGTCAATTACAGTTTCTATTATAGAGATAAAATGAGATATTTCGGGCTCTCCTGCTTTGTTGACAGCCCCTTACCTTTGGCTGTGTGGAGCACTGCTGGCTGGAGCAGCACGAGGTGAAGCTGCTTTGGGAACAGCTCTGGGGGCCGGGCTGTGCACTGTGGATATTGGTGCACTGATTGCTTTTGTAGCCAGTGTTGGTTTACCTTGTGTTGTCTTTCCCAGCAGTCCTGCTTTCTCAAATGGTAATTGAACAGCAGCAGTCAAAATACTCTGCTGACGGAGAACCTCTGGCCACTCCATGGGCAGTTATTCAAACACTTTCTGAACCAGTTTGACCCATTGCTGATTTATTCCAGATCCATTGGAGGAATTTTAAAAATGCAAACTCTACACTAGAGTTCATAGCATGGCTCACAGTTCTTTTTTGGTTTTGTTCTGTTTTCATAAAGCACTCCATACCAACCATCCATCTTTTTTTTAAGTGGTGGGGTTTTTTTGTTTTGTTGGGTTTTTTTCTTTTTTTGGTTTGTTGGGAGTTTTTTTTCAGTAATTTTCCTGAACACCCTGAGCAAAGAATATGGTTCCCTTAATAAAAGGTAATACTTTCTGTGCCATTCTTCCAAGGACTCCCAGACCTCAGTGACAGGTTCCATGGCAAGAACCACTTCCAGAAACCACCCGTCCCTCAGGGTTTCCTCCGGCTTCTCCTGGGCAGTTGTTAGCAGAGTGCAGCAGCTGTTAGTCGTAAAAGCTTGTTAAAAGTCTTGGCTGCTGTTTTCTGCTGCTGCTTTCTGCCTCTTCTTCTGCCCGCTCAAGCAAGCCTATCTCCTGGTAGGTTTTCCTGTTGTTTTTCATACAGAAAATTGCAACTTTACATAGCTTTTGTCAAGTATGGGCTGGGATTTACTTTCCATGACTATTGATCTCAGAAGAGCTAATGCTTAGTAGGCAAATAGTGCTAGGGCTTCTCAAGTATCTCTTTGCTTTGTAAATCAGCAGCCTTGGAGGAGTGAAGGGTAATCCCTGAGCAAACTTGAACTGGCCATTACCTGGGGCAGGGAGGTTGAAGTCATCAGTGCTATAAAATACTGTTCAGATGTATTTTTGTGCTTTTCTTTGGGCAAAAGGGTTCACACCATGGAAAAGAAAGATGGTACTCAGTGAGATGTGACCTTGAAGAAATGTGAATACTTGAAGAAAATGGGGAAAAGATGTTGGCAGACTCCATTGGTGCTGATTGTCATTCATATAAAATTGAGACTATCTATGTTTCTGTATATATGTTTTCTGGATCAAAATAATCCCTTGATATTTTCGTCTTGCATAGTACATTTGTGGTTAAAGGGCTCGTAAGAAAATGAAGTTTGAGGACTTAAAGAACAAGAAGCAAAACCATCACCTAAGAAACAGCTCCAAAAAACAATATGGAGAAAACTAGCAGTGCAGGATGCAGCAAACAAATTCTTTGTTTTAAGAATTAGTGTTGCTATAGCTGTCAAACAGGCAAATGGTTGCTGGTGTCAAGGACAGTATGTCCATTTTAAGCCACAGTGCCAGTTGATTTATATATGTACAAGTGGGCAAAATCCAATGACAGGAGGCTGGGAGCAATTCCTTGGTAGTTATGTGCATTATATGGAATGCTTGTTCCTTATGACCTCTGGCAGTCCTCAGTAGGCACGATGACATGCTTGTACTTGCAATAGGTGATAAATTTTCTAAAAAGTTTCTAAAAGTGTAACAATTTACATTGAATTGTACATATAATTTTTTTTTTAGGTTTTTGAGGTTTTTTTTTGCTACAGTCTTCTAATATGTATGGGAATCTGAATAGCTGATAAAAATACGGGGCGAGGGTGCAATGTCTTGGCATCAGCAGCAGCTGTACACAGCCTAGGGAATGGGAGGTGGAAGTTTATTCTTCCTGATGTTGTCTTTTATAAAGAGCCAGTGTTGATCCTGCATAGCAGATGCTCTGGAAAATAATGACAGTAAGGACTTCATGAATGGAGGACATAATTCATTCATAGTCAGTACAAGGTCTGATGTACTTGTGTTGCCTTTGCCATGTCATTTGCATGCAATATATACTTCTATATGAGCATGTCAAAGTCTAAGATCTTTGCTCAAACTTAAGGACTTTATTACAGCAGATTAAAAGCAGAATAAGCTCTAATGAAGCCAGATGTAATAGGAATTGAATACGTCCCTTGTTCTTACATTCTAGTGGATTTTGTTGTTACCTTGTTAGAATTCAAACCTTGTCTTCAAGATTTGGCTGACTGAAATGATAGATTAGTCATTGTGGAGGATTTTATGGATAATACATCACTTTTTTATTTTCTTTTTTTTTTTTTTTTTTTTTAAGGGATGATAGATGCCTTTCCTGGAGGGCATTTTTATCATAGAATCTGCTTTAATTTGTAATATATTTTCTGATCCTTCCTGTGGTTAGAGAATATGTGGAAACATCTATGCCTTGTGTAGATTCTGTCATCTCTCACGTCTTGTTGTCCTCCTTGGTGGTGTGTATTTTGAATATTTTAAGTCACTATGCTTTTCTTTTTTAAAG